TCATTTTCATTTAGGACCAAAAAATTATTCTTGGTTGTTGTCCGTGGATATTCAAAACATTTTTTTTTTTGTTTTGTCCAAATATATAGTATGGCAAAAAAAACCACAGTGATACCAAAACAACTAAACAACAACAAAATACCATATATACAATAGAATTCTCATTTGAAATCAATCAATTATTCACAAATGTTTTTTGTTATAAACATAAAGAGTAGTAAATCCAGTAGTGAAACACACACACATTGTGTATATGTAGAGTATTTAGTGTTTAGACATGGAATAAAAACAAAAACAAAATACAAAAAATACATTGTCCAATATATCATGAACAACAACAACAACAAATAAATGAACAAGTATTACATGTCAATCTCATTCTTGATAATGAATGGCATACGATTGACGATATATGAACTTTGATGATGATGATGAATTTTTTTTGGCTGTTTGTTTGGGCTATTTCCACCAATTCATTTCTTTTATTCTTCGTTTTTTTCTCTATTATTTGACACAGTCATTAAATGGTTTGGTTTTCCATGATTCTTCGGCTTCTTTTTTTTTGATTATGTGGATAACAATGATAAAAAACCACTAATGACAATTTACTATTTGGAACATTTTACGCCTATCGATTTGCCCTTTTGCCTTGGCGACAAATGGTGACCAAATTTTTATTTTTTGTTTTTTCCTGTTGGCTTAATTTCTATTTCATTTCATTTGTGTGGTGTGTTTTTTTGTTTTGTTTTGTATATTGATTTTTAATTTAAACTTTTTTTTATTGTTCATTTCCTTTTTTTTTTTTTTGTTTCATTGAAAAACAAATTTCTTTTCTGCTTTTTCAAAAAAAAGAAAAGAAAGAAAGAAGAAAGAATCGATGAATAAAATGAAAATTTAAACATTTTTTAAATGTTTTTCCTTTTGTTATTATTGTTGTTGCTAATGAGATATTTTGATAATGAATTTTCAATTTGAAACAAAAAAGTTTTGATTCTTTGAGAAATTATTTTTTTCCTGATTGATGATCTTTTGTCCTTTTTGATACAATTTGTTCTTATTGACAAATTGAAAAAAAATTCATCTTCCTCATTTGTAAATGATTCGAATCCCGGAATCTTTTTGATTCAACAGCAAAAAAAAAACAATCACAATAACATTCATTGAGAATAACTTGCTTTATTTTGTCTATTTCCATTATTTTTTTTTTGTTTTGTTTTTTTGTTTTTATTGGCAAGATTTTCTATTTATCGAATATTTACATTAATAAAAATTCTTGCTTGAAGCATTTTACATTATTTAATTGCTTCTTTTAATCGTTTAATCGATTATCTTTCCATTATTTTTCAATTTTTTTTTTGTTTTGTTTTCATTTCCAAAGAATTTATCCATTTATTGTCATTCACATTCATTGAAAGAAAGAAAAAAATTTGTTGATATTGTCATTGTTGTTGTCGTCGTTGTTTTTTTCCAGATAAAAATCTCATGATTCACATTATCAGCAAGAAAAAAAAGAGACTTTCACGAATTAGATTAATGCACGAGAAAAAAAAATCCTGGGATCGAAATTATCCTGGTTGTGTGTATGTGTGTGTTCGATTTTTCCAATTTAACGATTGTTGTTGTTGTTGTTTTTTCTCTGCTTTTTTGTCAAATATATTTCTTCTTCTTTGTATAAGTAATTTGAGCCAAAAACAAACATATCAAATAATCGATGCTAAAAAAGACAAAACAACAACAACAACAATAAAATGGGCTCTTTTGCATTCAATTTTTTTGGGATAATAGTATTTATGAATGAGCCAAAAAAGATTTATTGATTTTCCTTTTTCCTTTTTTTTTTTGTTTTTGTTTTCCTGTTTCATCTGTTCATCCAATTTGTCTATTTTCAACTAAAAAAAATATTCTTATTGAATCAAATCTTTCATATTGTTCATTGTCAGATTGACTAATGATGAATGAAAAAAATTGAAAAACATACATGCATGATGATAGCAACAAACTAGCTTCTATCACCTTTTTGTTTCCTAAATAAGTTTTTTTTCACGGATCATTTCACCGTTTTTTTTTTCAAAGATCGAACCGTTAAACAATATTCTTGTTTCCAGTTCAATAATAATAGTTATTTTTAGAGCCAAAATGTGTGATAATAATGGAGAAATAATAAAAAAAAGCCAACAACATTTACATTTGTATAATTAAATTAATTTAAAATCTATATGTAGAAAACATTAACTTGGTTCTTTTTCAAACATATCTTTTCTTTTTCCCGTTTCTTTTAACATGAGATTCTTTTTTAAAATTTCATTATTGGATTTAAATTTGACTAGACTTTTTTTTCGAAAAAAGAATTCTTTGTTTTTCTTCATTTTTCATCATTGTTGTTGTTGTTTTCAATCGCATTATTTTTTTTTCTTTCGGGAAAAACCACCCATTCTATCCAGAAAATGAAAAAAAATGAAATGAAAAATTTTTTCTCATTTTTTTTCTCCTCGAATAACATCTATTCGACTGTAGAAATAAAAATAAAAACCAAACAAACACATTAATACCATAGTTTGTGGCTAATTCAATCTTTTTTATTTTTATTATTATTATAACTGTAATTGGCTATTTCGACTGTTGTTGTTGATTCTTTTTTTGCTTCTAATCATCATCATCCTATCAGCAATGATTAGCTGAGCTTGAAAATTGTTTTTTTTTGTAATAATGTTATTTTATTTTATTTTTATTTTATATTTTATTTATTTGATCTTATTACATTTTATAGCTTTGTTGTTGTTGTTTATCAAAGGCAAAGCAAAGTAATGAAAAATTTTTTTAATCAAATAACATCCATAATGTTGATTGGGTGATTGTGGCCATAATCAATCACGATAATTATCGATGATAATCATTGATGATTAGCCATAAATTTTTTTTTTTGCACTGGTTACGTTTATTATGATGAATATTTTGAATGATGAAATTGGATTTTTTTTCTCGCAATTTTCTCGCTAAAAAAAGAATGAAGAATTTCATTGAAAATACTTGAAACTTTCAATCGATTATCCAAAAAAAATAATCATATGATGATGATAAAGTTTGAAGTTTAAAAAAAAATTTCAAGGTTATATCATCATCATTGGGAAACAGAAAAAAATAAAAGAATAAAGGAAAACCGCTACAGAATTTCTCGATAATAATAATAATGTTTCGAACATATCATATGATGTGTGTGTGTGTGCCAAAATTCGATTTTGAAACAAAATCTGTAATAATAAAATTTCCTACTAGTCATCAGTTTGTTGTTGTTGTTGTTGTTGTGATTTTGTTTTGTTTCAAATGGAATGAAACAAAATGAAACGATTATTTACGAGTCTTATGGTATAGTATAGAATATGGTGGTAGAATGAAATTGAAAACTTTTTTTTTCTTGTTGGTTTTCTTTTGGATTCTTTTTTTTTGCTGCAGCTTCTGGTTTTTTTTTGTTTTTGTTTTTGGTTTGGTAATTGTGTTTCATTTTCTTGTTTCATCATTCACTTTTTTTCTGTTTGTTTTTGATAAAAAATGATTATGCTTTTCAAAAAAAGAAAAAGGAAAGAAATTTTATCCGGAAAACAGTGAATTTTGTTTTCTCCACTCGCCAACGCTAACGCCAACGCCAACAACAACAATAACAGCAAACAATTTTCTTATTTCTGATAACAATTTTCTTTATGTTTCTGGAAAAATTCTTCATTGTTATCAGAAGGAATGAAGAAAAAAATTACATTCATCATTGAATTCATATTTGAAAACCAACCAAAAACAAAAAAAAACTTTTCAAATTTTTTGCTGTTTTTTTTCGGTTTTCTTAGAAATTCTGTACAGATTAATTATCTTTGTTTTGATTTTTTTTTCATGTTTTCCATTCATTCATTCATCATTCTAATCACGATTTTTTTTTGTGCTGATTATCATTGTTGTTCGATTAAACCCGGGAGACAATTGAGACAATCGACAAAAATGAATGGATACCGGAACCAAAAAAGTGAATGAATGAATGAATGATTCAATCCATTTTCATTTTATCAATCATAAGTTTTTTTGTTGTTGTTGTTGTTTTGTTTCTACTAACCATTATTATTATCTGATATAAATGAATGGATGAATGAATTTGAATGGTCATAATTTATACAGAATAATGATTATCCATTATTATTGTTTTTTTTTTTTGTGTTGACCAATTCATTATTACAAGAGCCACCGCAACAACAACAACAAAATACCTTTATTATTCTTTCTTAGAAGAGAGAAACAACAACAACAACAAATAAAATACAATGATCATTAGATTTACAGAATATTTTTTTCCAGATTATGGAATATGTATAATTCTTGTAGTTTTTTTTTGTCATTTGAATGATAATAATAGTCATTATTATTGTTAAACTTTAGAACTTTTTTGTTTTTTGGTATCATATTCATATATTGTGACAGATATTTTGTAACAGAGATTTCAATCATGAATATTATCATAATCGGTCATGTTCATACAGGACAGATTATAATAATGATAATGATAATGATGATGATCATGATGATCATTTATGAATATTTTCAGATAGCTAATAATTATAGCTATTATCTTTTTTTTCTGTTTTTGTGTGATTTAATTGTACTTGTATTTGTATTTGTAATTTCATTTTATTTATTACTTTGGATTCTTTAATCATTTTCAAATTTCTTTTCTTAAAAAAACTAATTTGTATGTTTCTCTTCTCATTCACAGACTCCGAAATTTCGTTGATTTTTTCTGTCCATCAACATCATCAGCAAATGAAACTAATACTTATTTGAACTTTATAACTAAAAAAAAAGGAAAGATAATCATAAATATAACGCACATTTTGGATTGTCATCAGTTATTATTGAAAAACAAATTTCTTCTTCTTCTTCTTCGTCGTATTGTAAAAACAGAATTGTTGTTGTTGTTTTGAAAAAAAAAATCCCATTAATCTAATTTATGAACAAACAAACGAAAAGAATTCTTTCATCTTTATTGAACAATCATACATCATCATCATCAACAACGACGATCTGATCGATTTATTTTATTTGAACAGAGCGAAAAGTGGGAAAAAACAAATATGAAAAAATCGGGCTTTTTTCGCGGTGTATTCGATGGTATACGTTCGACTGTTGGTCAACCATCATCATCATCATCATCATTATCGGGTGCAAAAGCATTTCTGGAATCTGAAACAGAAGAAGTGCTGAAACCATCACATTTTAAGATCAATACGGTAGGTTGCAAAAATTTATTATTATCATTTTTTCTTTGCTATATAAAAAAATGAACGCAAACATTGTATTTTTTAAATGCCAAATTTTGTTTTTCAATATTTTGTTTGTCCATTGCTTTTTCATCATCATTAGTTATCAATGAATAATTGATGATCGAAGAACGAAAAACGAAAAAATTTGATTAATTTGTTTAACAAATGAGAAAATATTCTTTCTTTCTTTCTTTCTTCTTTTTACATATTACGTATTTGAATAATTTGTATCTATCTATCTATCATCATATCTTATGGATATTTTTCCATTATTATATAGAAATCATATTATAAGCTCATTAAGAAATTGTTTTTTTTTGTTTCTTCTTCATCATCATCATTTACAAGAGTTGTTGCTGCTGTTGTTATGAAATTAGTTATACACACAGTTTTGATATAAAGAAGAAGAAGTAAAGTAAAAAAATTACACTGAAACATTGATGTGATGAAACCTGTACGTTATTTATTTGAAAAACAAAGAAACAACAACAGCAACAACCAAAAAACTTAATCAAATTTCGATTCGTTAGTGTTGATGATTCATGTATGTGATTATTTAGAATATCATTATTCAATGAAAAAAACTATCTTCTTTATTCATTAAAATAAGTTAAGCTCATGTTTATTGAATGAATGGAATGATGCCTGAATATTTTTTTTTCAAGGGGATTAGGTAATATTGCTGAATATATTTTCTCAATCATCATCATTTTCTCTCTTTACCGATAATATACTGGAATTTTCAAAAAACAAAAATGATAATTCTTTTTTTTAGTATTCTTTATTTTTGTTTGTTTTTTCCCAAAGCAATTTTGTTTATCCACACATACACACACACACACACATGTGACAGCAGTGATAATAATAAACAAAACTCGATAAATTGACTACAGTAACAACAACAGTAAATAATAATAATTTGATCCAAAAAAAAACGTTTCTTGTTGTTTATTTCAGATATGGTTTTTTTTGTGTCAAAACTTACTTTTCTTTCCAATTTTAGTTTTGAACAGAATTTCATTCAATGAATAAATGAATTACTCGATTTTGACATTCGAATGATGGCATTTGGAAAAAGAAATTTTTTTTTTTTGTAGTGCATTTTTTTTGACAAACATGACAAAAAGACTTACTCTTTTTTTTTGATAAATTTTAAATTCTATTCGGTTATATGAATGATATTATTATTATTATGAACTATATTTTACAATTCTATTTGATTTTGAAGTTTTTTGTTTTTGTTTTTTGTCTTCATAAAAATGCTTTACACACATCTTACTTTTTTTTCGACAATAAATGATGAAAAATATGGGGGAAAAAAAATGTTTGAAAATAACAACGATGATGATATAGATTGAAGGATACATAACATAGACATAGAAATCAAGTCTAAAAAATGGATCGAAATGGAACCTATTTTTTTTGTTATTTTTGCATCGATTTTTTCCAAAAAAAAAAAAAAAAAGATTTGTTGTAGAATTTTTCAACAAAAATCAAATGAAATGTCTTTATTTGAATCACACACACACACACACATAGATCATTCTAATGGAAAATGATTCTAATTGTTTATTTTTTTGTTGTTAAATATAGAAACGTCGTTAGAATTTATTTTAAATTTACAAAAAAAAACTATCATTTTTTTTTTTTTTTTTTTTTGGTTCACCATGTTCGTGTGTATCATTTTCAATCAAAAATATTACCTTATTTCATATCATAACTTAATGTTTCTGGGATTTTTTTTTCATTCTTTACATTAAGTTGTTGTAAGTATTAGTTGTTGAACAACGTCGTGTGATGTATGTGTGTGTGTGTGTGTGTATGTGCGTGGGCAAATTCTCCCGGCAAACAAGCAAAAGAAAAAGAAGAAATGTAATCGAGGAAATTGGAAAATTATTCTCTTCGGATATTAATGTTCTATTGATTGAAGATTGTTCGGAACTTTTTTCTTTCTTTCTTTCTTTCTTTTTCCTCGATCATTAACTTCACTTGTTTGTAGAATGATCCAAAATCGTAACATTTTCTTTTTCTATGTTCAAAACCTATTCAGTTTTTTTTCTCTTGCTCTCTCTCTTTATCTTTCTCCCGGCTCAAACTAAACATCATAAACATGTTTCTTTCTTGTAATAAATCGATTGATTGATTGTTTGCTTTTATAGAAAGAATGTTTTTTTTCTCTATCTCAATATCTCTGCATGGAACCCTAATCATCAAATTGTCAAAATATTTTTCATACCTATTTTAACCTAAATAATGTTTTTTTTTGTTGTTGTTGTTAAAATATCGCCATTGGTATTTTGATATTGTAATTTCTTTTTCACTTGAAAAAAAATTCAATTTTGCTTCATTTCTTTCTTCTTTTGATCATGATTAAAATTTTAGATTTTCAAATTTTTCCCTTCAATATATTATTCATATTTTTCTTTTCATTGAAATTCAAAACATATTTGCAAAAAAATAGAAAATCAAATTTCCAGATATTTGTAACATTTGTGCACATCAAACACAGTGCTGATTTTTCTATTTTTCTTTTTTCGGTATAAATATTGAATGTTTACGAATAATTTTTTCTTTTCCAAATCATATTTATTGTATCATTTTTTATGATAATAATAATAATAATAATAACCGAAAATGATTTGAAAATAATCAAATGATGATGATGGAGATGAAGAAAAATGTGGCATGATGATTTTCCATCCATCTTTGCATATTGAATGAAGAATGAAGAATGAAAAAAATGAATAATTTTGAAATTCGGTATAGCACTTTGAACAATAATAACAACAACAAAAACTGAATAAAATAACCCGTTTTTATCATATACTGGATGTACATGTTTTATTTATTTATTTTTTATTTTTTGCTGATGAAAATGATGATACCGAATTTTCTTTATTCAGTTACCGCCTTTGATATCTTTTTCTTTTGCTTTTGCTTATGGTTTTATAATAATATTTTTCCATGGAATATTCAGATTATATCAAGTAGAAAAAAAAATGACGTTAGCTCAGAAAAAGAAAACCAAAGAAAAAATATTCTTTTTTAAATTTTGGAATTCCAATCTCATCATCATCATCATCTTGATTCTGGTTATTTTTCTTCAACTGAAAAAAAATAACCAAAACAGACTTGGTTTTTCTCATCATTGTTTCTGGTTTTTTTCTCTTCATAATCATCATCCAATATAATCATCTTTTTGATATAACAACCAGAAAAATCAGAAAATATATAAATAAATCAAAAATACAGTAACAACAACAACATAACAATTGTGAAAATAAAATTTTTGAACCAAAAAATGAAAAATGAAAAAAAAAATTCGATCCCATAATCGTATCAAATCTAATGGATCATTATTTCATAAAGAATGGATGAATGATATACTCAGACACACAGAATTTAAACAGGCAATTTTTTTTCAAAACTTCTATCACTATTACTATGATTATTATTATCATCAGTGATCAAATATCAATAACCATCAATGTTTTTCCTACTTTGCCATATAATTTTGGTTTTTTTATCTTTTTCTTAACGTTTTCGATTCGTATTCAATTTCAATTTCAATCTGTAATATTTGTTTTGTGTATAATGGTTAAATGGATGAAGTAAATAAATAAATAAACTATATTGAAAGTGCATGATTCACCTTGATGTATAAATAGGTTTTTACTACATTTAAAATGAATCTTTTTGATGATGATGATGATGATGATGATGATGATCATTACAAATATTTATCACTTGATTTAGAATTTTTTTAAAACTTCGAATTTGTTTTTTATATATCAATGATGATAATGTTATTTGAATGGGGGAATAGAGTGAGAGAGTGAAAAAAACATTACATTTTTCATTGAAAAACAAGTAGAAAAATGTAGAAATGAAATAATAACGAAAATCATTTTTACGTGATGTTTGTGTGTGTGTGTAAGTGTGTGTTTTATGTGAAATGTGTGTGCGACTTACTTTGATGATAAAGAATATTTGATTTTTTCCCCTGCATCTTTTCACATTTTATTTCCATTTCATGAAAAAACTACTTTCAAATCACATCCATATATATACACACACACGTCTATTTTATCTAATAACAAAATGATATAATGATAGTGAGATAAATATTTTGGGAAAAAAAAAAGATGGCTCCAATTATAGCTCGTTTGTGTAATATATTTTTATGATGATAAAATCATCGAAAGAGTTTCTCATTCTCTTCTTTCTCTCTCTGTTTATCTGCTTCATTTCATAGGAAAAATGTGTGTTTTTATTTCTGAGAATAATTGTAGATTTTGTAGATTGAAAAACACCTATTCTTGTTCATCATATTTTAATCTTTTTTTCAATTTAAAAAAAACTATTATCTTTATGCAATTTATTTTCTAGTTTGATATATGAAATGGATTCTTTTCTCAAACAAACAAACAAAAAAAAAATTGAATTAAATTGAAAATTAAACCTCCAAAAAAAAAAACACTTAACAAAATTTATAATTTGCACCAGGAAAAAACAAACAAACAAACAAACGAATTTCAATTGAAAATCATCCCAAATAAAAACTTATTAATTGGATTTTTGTTGTCGTCACCTTTTTTTTCGTCATTCGTTAATGTTTTTTTTATGATCAATTTATCATTTCAAATGTTTTTGGCCAAATGTTGTTTCATTTTAAATTTTTTTTTTATTTTCATAAACAAATTGTCTATTAAAATATCCAATTCATCCATCAAAGTTCAGTTTTTTTTCACTCAACAATTTCCTTTTTAATGTTTGTAGTTGTTGTTGATTTCCGTTGGATTTTTTTCCTGTTCCAGTTCAATTTTTCTTCATCTTCTTCTTCATTTCTTTGTTGATCATCATTCTGATATTGAAAAAAAATTCATTTAGAATAGCAGTCTAAGGATCAAAATTCTAACATTCAAACATTCAATTCCTATTCACATTATAATTTGACAAGCAAATTT